TTTTGTAAGTTTTCACAGGCAAAACATTCACTTCAGACCCTGTGTCCAACTTAAAAGTCACAGTTATCCCTTTAACAATTATAGTTTTAGTCCACTCTTTTGTAGACGATGTTGAGCACACACTTTTAGTTTTTTGGACATTTATGGAATTCACGAAGAATTCATCATCAGATTCACTATATACATCTGCGTTATCACGCTGAGAAACATTTTGGACATGTTTCAGTCTGCACATAGTCAAAAAGTGATTAAGTTTGCCACAATTAAAGTATTTTTTTCCATATGCCAGGCTTTGTCCATTAACGTGATGTCTATTCATTTTTTACATAAAAACGTCTCAGTATTTGAAGCGTCACCGCGCCATCCTCTGTGCTTCCTCACTGCTATGGCTGCATTGGCTCCTCCTGCCTGTTGTTGCTTCACTTTCTCTCTAGTTACGCTGTCAACATTGTATTCTCTTAATGTTTGAGCACGAGCTTTGCTTGATTCAGCAGCTTTCCCTAAATCAGTTGCTTTTTCCAAACTTGGATTATTTTCTCTAAGCATCCTTTCCTGTAAACTGGTATCTGATACTCCAAGAAAAATGCGATCACGTACGACAGAGTCGCTCTGCAAATTATTTTACCAGTTTTTTCAGGTCAGTCATGAAACAATCAAAAAGTTCCCCTTCTTCTTGTTTTCTCTTATTGAATAAAAAATCTCTCCACCACGACATTTGTTCTAGGCATCGTGAAAGCTTCAAACCTTTCAAGCACTTTTTCATAGTTGCCCTGATCTCCTGTTGAAAGACTGAGCGTGTTGAACACTTCAACTGCTTCCTCATCAGCAGCATTCAAAAATAAAGCAACTTTCACATCTGAATCGTTTGAAGCATTTTCTGAAGTTTTCATATAAATCTAGAACAGCTGCTTGAATCTACACCAGTTTTTGGCCAAATATCCGTCGAAACTTAGGCCTTGCGGTGGGCGACAAAATTCCTTCTTGCATCTGCTGAGAGGAAAAACAACCAAAGGGATTGCTGGGCAATTAGTTGTAATACTACTCGACACTACTACACCATGAATCATATTAATATTTCTTGATCTATAATTAAGTTCATTATAACACGCTCACATAGCACATCGTTTATTCCAAACTAACATCAATTGACAATTAGTGTCTGTCTACGGCAAGAACAGCTCCCACCACGGTGTCTGGCGGGTGGCGGTTGCTATAGCAACAGGGCTAGTATATATCAAATAGGGTCGAACCAAGGGTTGCTTTACTGTTTTGTTTTGGGGGACTGTTGGCTGAAGGGAAAAGAGTTTATCATTCGTCTTCTCGGTTTCATTCCAGCTGTACACATCTTTTCTTAATCCTTATATAATTACTATTAGCTATTTTTATTCTCATGGTTATATCTTTTGTACTGGTATTTGTTTAAATTTGCTTCTATTCAGCTGGATTTTCGTAGTGCTTTGTTAATCGCCAATTTTTTAAAATGCTCTTCCAGTTTAAGAAAGGTCAACCTTTAAAGTTTCAGGCACGTCAAATTGTGTACAATGTTGCAGAATTTTGCGATTCTGAAGCTTCGGTGAACTCTTTAGTAGTTCCTCTTCCTCAAGTTTTGAAGAGAACATCACAAGCTACTGGAGTATCGAAGGATACAATTAAACACGAAGCATCAACAATGGGTGAAAATAAACTTCTAAATACACCTGGAGAGAAATGTAAAAGCCCTGCTAAACATAAGTGTGAAATTGACGGTTTTGACAAATGCGTTATACGGCAGACAATACAAGACTTTTACATCTAAGAAAAGAAAGTGCCATCTATGAGGAAATTACTGCCTGTCTTGAGGCAGAAAGAGACTTTCTATGGCAAAAAGACTCTTTGTGCAAAGTTTTGTGTTCAATGAATTTTTGCTGGAAGAAATGCATTAATAAAAGAAAAATTCTCATCGAAAAACCTTGTGTTGTATTTTGGAGGAACAATTATTTACGCGAAATGAGGAAAATCAGGGCAAGTGAACGCCACATTGTTTATATTGATGAAACATGGATTGACAACAATTTAACTTTTAAGAAATGTTGGCAGCATGATACGGTTTTGGGCACACAGATAAATCTCAGTTCAAAAAATTGACTGATTGTTGTCCATGCTGCCATCCCTCCTCTTAGACATTTAACAGTGGAGGCTTTCCGTAATCATATAAACTAATCCAAACCACTAGTAATTAAGGTAAAAGCAGTTTTGACTTTAATTCACCTTTGCTTCCTTTTGCCATTAAATTGACCAGCTTTTGGTTTAGTTTAAAGGTATAGGAAAAGAAGAAATGTTCGAAAAAATTATTTATTAAGAACATGGGTATGTATATAAACACTTTTACTTTCAGATGATTCCCTATACATTTAATGATGAAATATTTACTCATTATTAAAGCACAAGCAATAAATTAACCAGAAAATTTTGAAATAAAAACATAGCAGAACGTCATTTAAAGACTAAAGAAATTGCTTTGAATGTTCACAATAGATTAGCTAGAGGGGAGAACTGTAGAAATTTAATTTTTATTTTACATTTATGAAGTGCATCTGTACTATATTACAGAGAATGGAACAATCAAGTAGATTTCTAAGATGTCATCTATGATTTTGCAAGCAAACAAATAAACAGAAAAGAAGCAAAATAATAGCATGTCTTCAAAAATAAGCACGGATTTTTAAATTTATTTCCCTACAAGTTATTTTGATATATTTTTACTCATTGTACATCTAGAGGGATGGCAAATTCAGAGAATTGTACCTCACACGGTAAAATCAAAGACCATTTCTTGACTTCAAAAGCTTTATCTATACCATCGAATTTTCATTTTCGGAAATTGGATGTCGGGGTCGATGCAAAGGGTCAACAAGCATTTTACTTGAAACTAAAACAAGATGTGAATATCGCCAAATTATCTTTAAATGCGGCAAGGTGGAAAACTGAGAAGTAAATCTTCAAGACACCCATACGAAAATTGGGTCATGGTTCGTTTCTACGGCAACAGACAGCTGCAGACAAACTGGCGAGAGCTGTTCTAACGATAGTACTTCACTTCAGTTCGACCTGCAACTAGTGTGTTGCCGCATATAAGAAACAGATGCTCTGTTCTGTTTTTTAATTACATTCTCCATGAAAGGATTTTACTTCTAATGAAACTGAATAGCACACATAATTCAAACCATGGATTATAATTTAATGAATAGTATTTGTTATTTATTATCCACTCTTTATGATTATTATTTGAATGGAATTTTGATCATTAAATTCATGCTATTTCTCTGATAGAAATTCCTGGATAAGGTATTATAATTTTGTTATATTTGAAGACTTGGGTACCTAAAATTTGACAATGTGAAATTACTTTTGAGACATTGGTCGTAAATAGAAATGACAGCATGTGTTGAAATTAAACTGTTTTTGGTGCTTTAATATGCATGTCTGCCAGTGAGTGAAGAATTGTTATAATCTGTCAGCAAATGAGAAATCATTAAAAGTAATTACTTCTGACAACAGATGTGAGTGAAACTTACATGTATGACAGACATCTCACAGCAGAGCGGAGTTTAATTTGAATTACTCATATGATGTAAACATACCAGTTTGCAGAATTATCCACAAAAATTCCTTCTCAGATGGTGTCAAGGTTTCCCCATGTAATTTTTTTTTTTTTTTTTTTTTTTTTTTTTGTGTCAATTTCTTACTCACAAGAGACAATAAATAATTTTTCTTTCTCAATTTCTCACTCACAATAGACAATTTCTATGAAATAGAAAAAAATATTAAAATACTGCTATTAATTAAGCAAATAATTTAAATGAAAGTTAAGAATAATAATTTTAACTGAAGAATAACTATTATAAGTATTATAACTTTAAGAATAATTATTATCGACATGCGAGTGAAATTAAAGAAAAAATCTTAGTTTCCATTTCTGAGTTTCGGAAAAAGCTCATTGTGCCAACCAAGTATTGGACTTTCCAGAAAAGTATCTCTAGACATTTCGTTCTTTTTTTTTTTTTTACCTTCTTCCGTTACCTCTTGACTAATAAGAAGGGCAGATAAAAGAGCATTCTGTTGAACCAGTAAAACTTTGTGGTGAGCTGAAAAAGCCATGACACAAAATAACAAAACAAGCAGAGCAAACGGGGGAAACCAGTACACAAAATGTGTAGACGCATCCACGCATGTGTGAATTTAGTGTCTTTCATTGGCCGCAGCTTAGACTCCGTCTCGCAGGTGTGAACGGAAGTCCCGTATTTTATGCCCTTATGACTATGCATCTATGCCCTTTATGCCACCATTTGAACGCAGCCTAACACAACAGAACTCTGAGTTTTTGTCGCGTTTAGAATGCACTGACTGATATTTTTTTTTTTTTTTTCCTGCTTTCTGTGCTTATTGTGTTTAGTATTCTTCTGCCCTATAACATATTTGAGTATTTCACTGAAGGTCAAACATATTTTTGTCAGAAGGGAATAATTGCAAATGTCCTTTGTTACAGAACGTATTTGCAATGAGAGATCAGAATTTTTTTATCTGTAAAATTTATACATGCATCATGCCATAAAATCTATGAAGGTTTACAAATAAGTATTTTCTGCATCATCCTTTAGCTTTCCAGGGTTTAAGAAGGATAAAAGCAAATATCACCATATACAAAAGTCTGAGAATTTGGAACATTAGTTTGATAGAATTTTTAAGTAGTTTATGAAAGAAATATTTCTTATATATGTAGAAATTAAATATTTCATTCTTAATGGAAATTTAATATAAATTATCCTAAAAATTTAAAAATATTTATGGGTTGACATGAACAAATTTTAATTTTGGTTTTTGAAAGGAGGCGTTTATAAATTTCTCTATTCGTGCAATTTTTTAGTTTTGCAGGGTTATGTATTGCAACTGTGTGTATAATACAGATTACCTCTGAGGTCATAACACTTTTTATACCTATGACTTGTTTTCTCCTGTTTTAGGGCATCTCCTTCTGGCAGCTTTTCCAACTATATACGCATCTGCATCAGCTTTTACCCCCTGGATGTTTTATTGTCTGCTGTCCGACGACTCTGTCTGGCAATTTCAGATTTTCAATTAAAAGCTAATGATGATCCTGATTTTTGGCAAAGTTATATGAATTAGGAACTATTAAATTAAATGCATTTGACATTTGCTCTGCATAAGGAATTGTTACACTATATTTGCTCTAATACATAAATGTGTGGGCAGATAAAATTTTATAATAATGTATTTTAGTTTTTATATTTGAAAGGGTAAAAAGAGGGAAAGAATTGCTATAGTAAACACTCTAAAAAAATCTAATACATTAAAATTGACTTTTAATTCTTATTTAACTTCTAATTATTTTTAATAGCAAATAGTGCACCATAAAAGGAATTTCATTGATATGTACAGTATACGGAAAAAATATATGTGTTTTGAGATGTTTGGGGGTCACATCGCCATTGTGTTTAAAAATACAGTATTCTGTAATAAATCATTTAAATATAATTGAACTTTGCCAAGATTTTGTTGTGTGTGCATCTGTTGCACCAACGGATAACCATGTTATATAAATATAAGACTTGTTTACTTCTGGCAGTTTTTTCCCTCTTTTTATCTGATAAAATGGTCATGAAAGAATATTTATATTTTTTAACATTCTTACATAATTAAAGTAAAAAAAAAAAAAACTCAGCAAAGTAACTGATTGTCTAAATTGAGATATCATACAATTAGTACCATAAAATTAGCAGAAGAAAAAGGAAGACATTCCAAAATAATTAAAGCATTATGCTTTTAATAAGAAATTATTTTTATAAGAAAACAACTTTATTTTCCTCTTAAATGATAAAATTTTATTATTGTTGCAAGTTTTTTGTATTTTATGCAATTGTTATTTATACTTATAGTGATTTATACTTGTTGCATTGAATACATATATATTTCATTTTTCATTATTAATCATGTTTAAAAATTACAAGAATTGTGTAATTGCAGCTATGTTAGTAAAAAAAAAATTGTTTAATATTCTCATGTACCTGTGTAGATTAAGTGCATAAAATATTGCAAATTGGAAATTTTATACTGTGTTGACATTGTTCTAAATATAAATTTATGAAATGCTTATAGATTTGTTAAAGGAAATAACTATCATACTGCTTTTGTAAAAGCAAAAATTTAATTGTTGTTTAGTTTAAAATAAATGAGTACTATGTAAAATTTTTTCATAGTAATTTTTGTCATTTGTGTACATAGATTTAAAAATATATATTGAGTTATGCAAAAATGTTAACAGATTGCAAAATATTCATATATTGCAATCTGTTAACATTTTTGCATTAAAAACCTTTTATTTTTAAATTCAGTACATTTATTAATAACTTGAACTGTAATGTACATATTGTATTGTTTCCAAGATACAAATCTGAATTTATTGATGTCTGTTCAGATTAGATACAACTGTAAAAAATAAGCCATAAAAGAAGGTTTATTAAAAAATTTAGTTTCATTTCTAATAAACTTCCTATATTAATGCTTTAAAAACATGTATTTTGAAAAAAATCGTATCTTAATTAATTATTATATTACTGTTTATAACACTGGAATAACACATATAAGTTTTTTTTTTTAAGGATATTGTCACAAACAAGAATATAATTATCAAAAATATTCACCTAATAAATGTATTCATTCCATGTATTTTAAATCTATATATCTTCATAATGCTTATAGATTAACGTGTTGAACCAGAAGATTCTTGCGAAGAATGTTTTTTTACATACTTGATTTTTACAATGAGTGAAAGCATTATTTTGTTTGTTCTTGGAGAAAAGTAAAATATTTCTGTCTTAATATATAGTACCTTCTTTTCATTCATTTCTTAGTAAAAAATTAATCTTCATATTAAAACTCATGTTGATAATAATGAAACCAAATTTTGGAAGGTAAATACGTTGATAAACCATATTAAAAGAAGACCATCTGTTATAAAGCTTTATTGTTTACTTACATTTAGTACAGAATTTCTTAAGTGCTGTTGCTATTTCAGTGATATGCAAGATTTAGTCGTGTTTTATTCTGATGACAGTTTCAGTATAGTGAATTCCGGGGAGTCAAGTGAATTTATTAGGAAAATAATTTATAGTGTAATGCACTGGCTTCTATGTGAATGGCAAAAAAACTTTATTTGTTGAATTTATGGGAAGAGTTTGCCTCAAATATTTTACCTAAATACATTAATATTATAAAACTGTGGCGCATAGTAAATCCATTTTGCATACTTTTATAGGGAAAAGATAATGACATAACATTTATATGGGTTACACTTTTAAATTGATATGCATCAATGCAGCAGTTTGTTTTGTGCAGCACATATTCTAACTGCACAATAGTGATGGAATCCGGTGCTGCAGAATCCACTTCTGAAGATCTTATGTGTGGAGTAAAAGTGACATATATATCAACATCTTTAACAAATTCCCAAAGAGGAGAAGAAAACACAAAGAATTGAAACTGGAAGCTTGAAAGTACACCACAGGGTCATATTGTGCACTTTGAATGATCCAGAACTGCTGGTAATGAGCCATTGCATTCAACAATATTAAACTGTACACAATAATAAATGAACACAAAAACATAATCAATGTATGATAAGCATTGTATGTAAATACTTTTACATTGGAAAAAAAGCCGTTTTGTAGGCAAATCTGCCCGTCCCCTTTTTGTTTTGTTTAAATCAACCACCTTCTAACCTACTAGCATATAACAAAAGAAAAAGTATATACAACACATTTTTTTTTTTATACATCAGAATCAAAGTTTTTGTGAATTTCAATTCCTCGTATCTTTTGGCTAGTATTTTCATTGCTTATTTAAATACCTTAGAAATTGAAAAGATACCTAAACAATTAAAACCAATTTTATAGTACATATTAAAATCTAGCTTGCTAGAAATAAATATTTTTCTTTATATTTATAATTTTTATTGTTCTACAATTCTTTTTCATTTTTTGTTTATTAATGTGTGGCATATTATAAGTATATTCTTTATAGACAAGTACTTCATCTAGAATTTCAGTGTTAAAAATAAATAATATTTTAACCAAAAATCAATTTTTTAATATTGTTAAAGGAAATTAATAACTTTTAATTTAGATAAATAACCTTGAACTAAATTAAAAGTTAATAAACTGCATTTCTCTCCAGTCTGTTCTGAAGATGTCCAGGGCACACTAGTTGCTGACAGAATATGGTTACTGAACACTTTATTTCAATTCAGGTTTAAATTTAGTTGTTTTGTGACACTGCACAATATTTTATGTATTGTTCATTGTATAATTTGAAAAAAGTGCATGAAAAAAATTTTTAAGTCATGATTATCTTAACCAAGTTGAGATGATTATCATTATGGTTAGTTGTATTATTATTATCATTTCCAAATAAAAAAGGATATAAAAATTATTATTCAAAGGCTGCTGTTTATACATTTTTCCAGTATTATTATTTAAAAAAATTAAAATGTGTCAGCTAATGACCCTTTTTCTGGATAATTAAACAGTATTTTGATTTCCAAATATTCGTGTAATCTGCAGCAGTATATTGCTCCACTGCTTTCCATTAGCTCGTCCGATGTTTTAAGTGCCAGTTGTAAAGTTAGTGATGAATTAACAGTGGATATAAATCCATTGCCGAAACTGTCATTTATGCCTCGAAACCATGTTTTTGATCCTTATTTCTGCTTATCTTCATACTTCATCAAAAGTCATAATATATATCCTGTAAAAGCCTTAGATGAAGCATTCAGCATGTACTGCATTCAGTCTCATGCCTAGGCAAAAGGCAGGGAAAACAACAATCACTTCAGAGTTTTTAAATTTTATTATTTTGTTTATTGATAGTATATAAGATATTTTAAGATGCTCATATTAACGCGTTGACTGTCGTGGAGGTCACCGGTGTCTGGCACTCGACTTGGCTACAGTGCCGTGGGGGACCACCTGTAACCGGCGATGCGACCAATAGTACAAATATGTAATTAAAGTAAATATAAATTTTTAAATAATAACCATTGTTACTGTAATGTTTTAAAGAGTAATAGATCACAAAAATTTTAATAGATCGCAAAAATGGTCTGCAGCGCCTCAGGGGTGAACGGTGACCTCCACCAGGAAAAATGCATTAAACACGATTACATAACTTACCTTATCTTCTGTAGATAATATTTCAACATAGTATGCATCGAATAATAAAAAATTCATATTGGCGCCATGGGCGAACCATGTAAAATGCATGTGGCATTCAACGTGTTAACAATATTTTTTAATGAGTTTTCATTTCAGAGCGTTGTGTGTTTATATATATATATATATGACTAAATATAAAGTAATAAGCAGTTCAAAACGTAATTCGATTGTGTGCTGATAGCAGCAAGTGGTTGTAATATTGCAAGATAAAATAAAAAATACACTTAAAATTCATCATTTATTCAATTTGGAATAAATCGCCTGCAAGAAACGATAACAACAAACTGCAAGGAATGGGGGCAAAATATGCTGAAACCACAAATGAAATATTAAATTTACATCTTTCACTGTATCATCATGAGGAGATTAACACAATGAAAAGGTAAATAAATAAAACAGCCTGTTTCAAAATTGACAAAGTCATGAAAAAAACACTCGTAGCATTAAAAAAAATAATCTGTCTTTATCATTCCAACCCCTGCAGCTGAAGTAGGCAGGGCAAAAAAATTGTAAAATTATTATAGCATTAAAAATAACTTTTAATTGTGAAATAATAGACAATTATATATACAGTCAAAAGTCGTTAATTTGGACACCCATAATCCGGAATGATCTATAATCCGGACCTTAAAAGCTAAAATCTATCTGCGCATGCGCATAAGCGTTTACGCGTGCGCGCAAGACCTTTACGACTGCGCATATGCGTCTGCGCAAGCGCAGAATACATTTTCGCATGCGCGTTTAATGTATAACGGACGGTATAAGCTAAAATTATCTAATTATCTATTTCAGTTAATGTTGATGATTGCGTTGTTCCTTAATCTTCGAATTAGATCCGGCTTATTATTTTTGCAGACTGTAAGAGCAATTTTTTAAAAGTAAGCTTGAACTTTCGATTATGTCAAATAGAATTTCCGATGCTGGAGCTCCCAAAGGATCTAGAAAACGAAAGTATGTTTCAATGTCCATCAAACAAAAAGTGGAATTGCTAAAAAAAAGGATAAAGGCATATCCTTTGTTTATCTAACCATTCCGAAATCTGTTTATCAATTTCACGCTGCTCTGTGCGGGGGGGTAGGTAGGGGGGACGTCATGGCGCGCAATGAACTGGAAGTTGATCTGTCAGCACTATCGTTATCTTCAGGGCAGATGTTTTTAATTTTATTCGGCTTATAATTCCTTACTAAATGTAGTATTTCATCTCGATGTACTCCGTCTTTCGATATGATTTAAATCAAATTCCTCGTCATTATAAATATCATGAATACAAATAAAATAGTTTTCTGGTTGATATTTCTAATTTCGGCTATGCGTAATGTATGCTTTACGCATGCGCGCGTTGAAAGAAATGTTTAATAAAGTAAACAAATAAATATTAAGCTTCTTTTTTTGGTAAATTTTGATACCCTTTAGATCATAATTGCTCATTATTTTATAAATTACGGTTTCATATTTTTAATTTTATAATTTCTGCATGCCATCTACCAGATTTAAACTGATGATCTATAATCCGGAATCGCCAAAGTTCCGACGAGTCCGGATTAAAGACTTTTGACTGTATAGTATATATATTCATTTGTTGTAATTACATATATATATGAAAGCAATTTTTATTTTTATCTACTATTTTCACTTTGTTAAATTTAAGATTAAAAATATATCTGTTTAAAAGACAAAAAGATATTCTTTGATTCAAAACTTGTTATTGCGTACTAATTTTCAAGTAGATTATATTTTAAAATAAGGTGTTGCCATTCATCTAGAACAGGGTTCTTAACCAGGAGGGGAATGTGATCAGGCTTTTATTTTGCTGTTAAGTATTTAGTTTATGAATATAAAAAACTTTTTATAGTCAAGTTTTGGTATTTCCCAACATTTTCTAATCCAACATAATCTAAATAAATGTATATTTCAAGCTTAGAAAGGAAAAGGGGAAATGGTCTTCCAACAGTGGTGAAAGGGGCATGTGGAATAAAACGTTCAGAACCACTGATTTAGAACATGTCAGACTTTATTTATTTATATTTACATCAAAATGTGTGACAACCAGGGTAGGGAAAATGACTGACTCCAACTCCTGGAAAGACACCAACTCTGACTCAACTCCGTCATATCTATATATACGTAAACATATACACATGGGTTACAGCTTATTTTTTTATATAAAAGAAGTAATAGATGCTACAGGGAAAAAATTGAATGGCATAGCAAATTACGGTACTTATGCGAATCTAATGCGCATCCCCATTTTAAAACTTTATAAAAAAAATGTTTGTCGGCGAATGTAATGCGCATCAATGGTATGAGGAATTTATTGAATCTTATTTTATACAAATATGGATTTGTATATAAACTTTCAATCAATGGTATGATAATTTTATTTAAATTTAGATACCATATTTTATACAACAATGGATTTATACATAAAGTAGCACAACATAGAATTAACCTATTAGTGGGCTATTGTTATGTGAAACAATCATTATTCATTACCACTACCGTATATACGGTATCTATCGTAAAATATGAACATGAAATAAATCGTAACATTTCCATCTAGCTAACAGTTTCTACAATCAGTGATTAATAGTAATCGTCTTTATTCACTAATGTTTTTCATCACTGGAATCCTCGCAGCTCTCTTCGTCAGAAGCAGATTCATCATTTCTTTCTTCTTCATCCTCATCGTCATCCTCGGCGTTCCAGAGCACGTCATCGTCACTGCCATTCAATGAATTTGAAATGCAGCATTTCTTGAAAGATTTCGCAATCATTGGATGCTTCGATGCTTTTTCCAGGCAGCAGAAACCCAGTGTGCAACAATGTGCGGTGCAGCACGCTTAATTTTTCCTGTCGGGGTCAATTCACGGTTTGGCTCACAAAACCATTTTTCGTACTCCGCCTGAACGTACCCTCTTAAAAGGTTTATTTATACTAACGTCCAGTGGTTGTATAACACAGACGTCATCCCTCCAGGAATGATAACAAGATCACTGCCTAGGCTGCGATCGTGTTCTTTTTTACGTCGTCGGTGAGATGACCACGAAATGCGTCCAGACAAAGCATTGATGGTGGATTGAAGAGCCCACCGGGACGGCGTTTCCATACATTTCGGAGCCAATCAAGCATTAATGATTCCGTCATCCACCCCTTCTCTTGGTTTCGAATCAGGACATCATCTGGGAACAGCTTTTCATTCTTAGGGGTTTTAGGGCATGTTTTCCGTTTGAAGATTAAGAAAGGGGGGGGAGTTTGCACCCGTCTGCTGTTATTGCCAGCATCACTGTTACGCGTTGTTTTTCACATCCCGAAGTTTTGATGATAACTTTCCTTAGTTCTTCTCCGTAATGGTGTGTTCTGAGGCATATCAAACCAATTGCGTCTCGTCAGCGTTGCCGATTTGCTTCATTGAAAAATTCTTTTCCTTCCGAAGTGTTATGACATACCGCTGAAATGTTAGTAGTTTTCCCTCAAAATCTGCAGGAAGCTTTTGGCATATTGTTGTACGGCGTCTTAAAGATAAGCCCATCCGCTTCATAAACCGATCCACCCATCCACGGCTAGCCTTAAACTCTTGTTTCGGTTTTCCAAGAACTTCAGCCTCCTCTTTTGCTTTATTTCTTATGGTGTCACTAGTCACAGGTTGTTCATTTTTCTTCCTTTCACGTACAAATTCCAAAACTTTTTCTCCAATTTTAGGGTGTCTTCCTTTGCGAGAGCTAGTGAATTTCTTTCTACTAGCTTTAGTTGCAAACAGTGCCAATTTCTGTTGCCGCCACAAGCGAACACTGCTCTCAGCTACGTTGAACTCTCCCCTGCCTTTCTATTGCCATTTTTTTCAGCATCAAGAATTACTTTTTACGTTTGAAAGTACGTCATATGACATTCTTCCTCTGCTTGCCCTCCATTTCGTGACTTCGTACTCTGCAGTTTGTATCCTCTATGCAATAATGTGTCAACAATAAATGTTACGGTAAATGTAGTCGAGAAATACAGTAATCCATTGTTATGATTTAAATTTGGTTGACGTCAACGCCGAACTTTGCACTCGAATCTAATGCGCCATCGAATCCAATGCACACCCCAATTTTGAGTACTACATTACATTTGGCCAAAAACGATGCGCATTACATTCGCATAAATACGGTATTTATATGAATTAGCATTTATAATGAAATGGAAAAACTGGGATTAGTTATCTCTAAGAAACAGTATAGC